AGAAAGCCTAACTGAGAAGGGACTAGAAATAAGACTGGCCAAATAGGGCATGCCCCTGGAAGGTGGGCACGGGGCAGCCTGGATGGGGGCATACAGCGCATTCATCCTTGGGAGCCGAGAGGTCCGGGTGCTTCCTGGAAGTGGTGGTGAAAACCTATCAGACTCAACCTGCAGAGGGGAAAAGGGCTACTCAGCCTCGTAACGGGGACTATGCTCAGCCCCTGATATAGTAGGAGAGGGTCCAGGAGCTGGAGGGGAAAAACTGTATGGTTGTGCAGACTCCAGGTGGATCATCTTGCACTCTGGTCTGTCTAGCTTTGAGAGAACCTCACACGTCGTCCACCCCATCTCTGATGAGACCAGCCAGTCTCATCTTCAATGGTATGGTAGGGGCCCAGCAGCCCTAAGGAGCTGCAACCCTAAGATACTTGCAGGATGAGGCATGACAATGGGGAAGGCCACAAGGCAGGACTTCAAGCTACCATGGATGAGGTACAAACTCTGCTTTGGGAGCCAGGTCATTCATGCGCCAGAGCCGTGCGGCTGGAAACACTGCCATAGCCCGAGGCGTGGTCCTTGCCATCACAGCCCCTCCACCCAGTTCAGAAGTGGGAATGACTAACTCCGGTAGAAAGACACTTTCATCCTGCTTTCCTAGAAGAAACTGGCTCTAACATACCGCTCGTAGGAGCTGTAAAACAGAAGGAAAATAGAGGCTGGGACACGCAGAAAAGTACTCGGGGCTACGTGGGAGGAAGGGGAAGTCAGCCAGACCCCATCTGTTCAGCTTCGGATGCCAGGGGGAAAGGAGGGACCCAGCGCTGCCCTCGCAGTGGAAACTTTGGGGCTCTGAACACGGCTATTTATAGGAGCTGCTGCTCTCTGGTGCATGCTGTAAAGGATATGGGCTGATTTCCTCTCCAGAGCTGGCACCAGGCTCTCTGGTTATCCAGTACCAGACACCGATTCCTCAAGAAGAGAAGACCAGCTGCCTTGTCCAGCCACTGACTGAACAGATCCAGGAGGCTGATCTCTCCGCTCCCCAGTGACACGAACACAGCGAATCCACTACAGAAGGTCACTGATCTCCAGTGAAAAGGGTGTGGAGTGTCTTAAACAGAGAAATCAGTGTAGTCATTTTTCAGCTCCTAATGGAGCTGGATTTCTTGATGTCCCCCAGCCCCTGCTATCTGGCAGACGGGCAGACCCCGTCTCTGCCCCCCACCACGTATGGCCTCTTTCAACGGGAAGCCGGTTGTGTATCTGGAGGGCTCTGTCTCACCGCAAGAGTAGAGAATCACAAGCTATCAGACAACATCTAGAGAGAGTCAACAGGTCAAGGCAGCATGATCCTAACTGGACAGCAAACCCACGCTGGAAGCAATGCTAAATCGTGTCTGAGAGTCCTTATTCAAACCACCAGTGCTGGAGATAATCAGTGATTTGACTTCTGGGCAGACTCCAGAATTTAATCAGCTAAAATGAGCTGACTTTTAGCCCAACAACAGTGCCTGTTCACTGATAACAGAGCTTGTGTCCAAACAGCTGGACTCCCGGACAGCTGTGTGTTTAGCACTGGGTAGATGTTAACCTTCAGTGCCTTTTCCCCTGCCGTGGTATTATCTCCATTTTGCAGGTGAGTAAACTGAGGTAGAAAGGTCGGATGGTTTGCCCATGACAAAGCCTCAGAACTGGAAGTTGAACAGCTCCTGGGGTTAAAAAACCTAACTTGTGTTATTCTGTCGACTAGACCAACAGATACAGAAATCACTTCTTCCACCCTGACGTGCAGCCACCCCTGGATTCACAGCCGTGTTGCACAGAGCTGTAGGACAGCAGCAGTAGCTTTTATCACTGAGCAACATTTGTGTGTGTGGTTGTGTCAAATACTGATAATACACACAGTATGAGCAAACACATGGATTCGTAAGGCATGCTCCCCCCCAAGAGTAAAGACAGCCGCTTGAGATAGGAAACTTTTGCTAATGGCCTGGTTTACTTTGTTAAAACTGCTGTCCTCTTTACATAAAGATCAATACAGATGGCAAAGGCGTATCATGTAAGAGCTGTTGTCTTCTCCATGTAAAGATCAAAAGAAACTGAAAAGAGTAAGTATCATCAGCCAAGTCTACCGAATATGAAGTAGAAGGAAAACCCGTAACTCTTACAGCAAAAAATGCTCTCTGTCTGATAATCCATCCATTTTATTTTAAATTTTGTTCTGAACCAACTCACACATCATGATTTCCAGATAAAACTGCTCCGCTCTTGCAATTGTACAACTAACAATAAGCAAGAAAAGACCAGTAAAAGTAAAGTTTTACCAGTAGAAAGGTTGTTGCTTCTTGCATTTAGCTAAGCATGTCATCATATGCTAAGATGGTGGAAAGTGGCACTTACAAAATTGCTTCCCGTTAACTTCTTTTTTCCAGTGCCTTCCCCGCCCCAACTCAAACAATGACTGCACGCTGGGAATGCCAATGCTACGATCAGTGCCAAGGAGACTGAAGGACAACCAGCAGCACACCCAAATGATCTGATGGTTAAAATGTCACCCTGTGACTTGGCAGGCAGAAGAGCCACACCACCTCCTTATTTTCCGATTGCTGTCTTACAGATTCTAGGTTTTCAGCTAGTGTTTGAATGATGCCAACAATTGCAGTTCACTTGCATTTAGCATCGCAGTGACCAAGCAAGCTTCTTTTGTGCCCACAGCCTTAAATCTAAGAAATAAATAAATATGTATATTTTTAATATCGTGGATCATACTCCCTTCTTTAAGATGCTGCTTGTTTCATAGGTGTGGAGCAAACGAGGGGCATTGCATAGGGGGTGTGCACCAGTGCACGTGCACCCCCTAAGCATGGCGGTTCACCCCCTACAAAAAGGTGCTGCTGACAGGTTGCCGCTCGCTACCCTGCTGCCAACACCACCAGTGGCGTCTGCGGGTGGTCCGCCATCGCCACTGGCCACCACCGATGCTGCCGGCAGTGCCACCCCCCCAGCGGCATCTGCGGGAGCTCCATGTTTACCACCACTCCCGCTGCCACCAGTGCAGCCGTGCCCCCCCAGCCACCAGGGGCACGCGTCGTTCACGGAGGAAACCTATTTGCTAGGAGCAGCACCATCTTAACATGTGCCCAGCAAACGCTCTAATCTCCCTCCCCGCACCTGGGTACAGGTTCCCCTCGATTTATGTGGGTTCATTATATGCGAATTTGCTCTTATGCAATAATTTAGATTATTTAGACCAATAACACATTATATGCAAGATAAAGTCACTCTTATGCAAGCAGCATAGATGCCCCCCCCAAGCAGGTAAGTTCACGGGGGGATTGGAAAGTGTCATGGCCCCACTCACCCCAGCCCCAGCTGCAGCGGCACCGGGACACGTCGCAGCCCAGGAGCAGGGGTGAGTGGGGACAGGCAGAGCACGGTGCAGCCCAGCGGCTGCAGGTAACTGGTGCCAGCCATTCCCAGGCTGCTGCAGCCGGGGCTGGGGCAAGCGCCGCTCTGTTCCCTCCACTTTGCTGCCCTGTGCAGCCCCAGGAGCGGCACCCCTCCCCCCTACCCCTTCCCTAGTCCCAGCCTCATTCCCTCCCTCCCCGCCATGGGAACCCCTCCCTATTTGTTACATTGTAAACTCATTTGCTTTATGCAAATTTGATTTACGCGCCATTCTCCGGAAATGCATGTACAGCATAAATCGAGGGAAACCAATCAAGGTTATTAATGAAGAGCAACAGTGGTACATCACAGCTTTGCCTGGCTTTCCCTCTGACCAGCTCTGAGCGCTTCGTAAACATGAAGGCTGAACTCCTCCATTACGCAGGCATTATCTCCCTCACAGACAGCAACAGTCAGGCACAGGGCGGGTCAGAAACTCGATCCAAGTCATATTGCAAGCCAAGAACTGAAACCAGGAGTCCAGACACTGTTCTAATAAGCAGGGATCCTGGTCTTCTGTGATAAAAACCTGCAAATTCTCTGATAAAACCCCCCAAATCCATCATTAAAATGAACGGCAGATCACTTTCCCCCACAGCCCTCTGGCCCTGCCGCCAGCTGCCAGGGCAACGGGGCCGTGGACCCAGGTCCACAGCCCCCAGCAAAGCCGGCTCCCCACAACTGTGCGCAGTCCCAGAGGGGCAGGGGGGCCCTAGCCCCCTGGATCTGTGCGCAGAGGGCGAGCGGGCGCAGGCTGCCCCTGCCCTGCTGCCCTCCCCCATGGCCTCCGCAGCGCAGCGGGTGCAGCCTGGCACAGCAGGGAAGAGCAGGGCTGTGTGGGGAAGCTGCTTGCTGCTGCAAGCTCCGCGCTGCCCTGGCAACTCATCCCCTGCCCGCACGGCAGCAATGAGGGGCGCAACCCCGTGCCGCTGCCCCTGCTGCACACGCAGGGGACATGTCACCAGGGCACCGCAGTGCTCACAGCGGCAAGATCCTCATGCGGCCCCGCTGTTCCCTGCAGCGCTGGGCCCTAAGCCCCATGCACCCCCTGCCCTGCTCAACTCCCTCGCTCCCTACATGGGCCTCAATGCCCTCCCTCGACTTACCTACCAGTCTTACCTCTCCAGTCTGCCTGCCTGCATGCTCAGTCCGCCTGCCAGGCATGTGCCTATACACATACGTGCACATGGCACCCCCTGCCCGACCGCCCTCCTCCCGCTGGCACTCTGCTGGCCTGCAGGGAGCTCTCTGCAAAACTGCAAAATCCACGGGCTTCCCAGTTCAAATGAGAAATCCATGTTTTCCTCCAGTAAGGGGAAAATCCGCGTTCTTCTCTGTTTTTCCATGGGAAACAGAAAATCCAGATCCCTACTAATAAGAATTACTGAAAGCAAGTTAGACCTGGAGAGTTTAAGAGCAACGGTCTGTCTTTCCAAAGCTGGAACAACACTGCATACACCCTCAGTACCTGAAAGCAATTTGAATGTCTGACCTGCAAAGAGCAACTTAACACACCTCCTGGTGGGACTACCCAGTGCAACTGCAGCCCTTACCTGTAAGTCGCGAGTTCAAGGCTGAGGCCTGCTTTCACTTCCAGTAGCTCTTGATATTCCTTCAGGTACTCGGCAATCGACATCGTCAGGAGCTCCTTTTCTTCTTCAAGGGCACCGATTACGCCCTAGACAGAAACACTGCCATTTAGTTTGGAAGAATTTGACTTTAATCTTCTATAGTTAGGTTCATAACAGCTTTCTAGTTTTAATAAACATTGCTAGGAAGATAAAACGTACTGTCAGTTCGGTTGCACAGGAAACCATGAGAAAAAGTCAACATAAAAGAAGCCGACTCCAGGACTCCCCTATCGAAACGCTAGTGCTCTAGCGTCGCAACAGATGCTCACTCTCGGATTCGATGCATCTCCTTGACAAGGTGCTTTAAGTATTTAAACGAAACCCATCCAGTTGCCCCCGCATAAAGTTACCATTGGTGCAGGGCAAACAAACTGCACACTGCTGTGAATTTGCTATGTGGCACTTCAACGGTAAGACTGAGAACTGGGATACACGTACATTAAATACATTGGAGACGCCCTGGTGCTGGCCTCAGTGCAAGACCCCAAACAGAATTCACCGTGGCTACAACCCTTCATTAGCTTGCATGGGGCTAGATCAGAAACCTGAGACTCCAGCGTCTGGGAAGGGGCCTCCCCGGGGGCTTCAGGCCATGTCCAGGTCTGTCCTCTAAGCATTCATTGAGGAATACGCTTGCTGACAGTGTTGCAAGGCTAATTGAGCAGCATTCCTGCTGGGGACCAAGAAACTCAATCAAGTCATTTGTTTTGTTTTCTGGCTGCAGATTAAAACCTACCCAACTTCTTCCAGCCTAAAGGATGGATGTCCAGCCGCAGAGAGGTGGGGGACTGAACAGCAGAAATCCCGATTCTTGATAACAGCCCGAGTTTGAAGGGACACGGGAGTACCACACAGCAGTTCGGGGCCGAATGGCCGCATCCCATGGGAGCACAGGGAGGGCGAGCCCCGCATTTGGCCGGGCTAACGAGGGCTTTCACCTCCGTGTGAAGAATGTCGGCGCTCTGGAAAGTGGACGTCTTTAAAACATCGTGCAGGCGGTCACAACACCAGCTTTACCTCTCACCTGAACGGCCAGTCCAGTGAAGGAGCATCCACAGCACAACACGGGGACTTCGGTCTCATTCGGACTCTAACGGGAAAAGCGCCCCAGACGGCATTGGGGCGTCCCTTTTAATGGCTCCCCACCCAAGCATTAACCCAGCTGGATCCTCTGTAGCTTCGGAGATCTGACAGTCGTGCTCCAGGGTGCCCACAGAGCTGGCAGGGCGTCAAGGGTGGAATAGGCTTGCGCAGAGAGAGCGAACGGCTCCACAGGGCAGGAGCCTGAGCCCCCGGGCCTTCACAGCAAACCTGTGCAAGGGCAGGAAGATGGAAAACCCCACTGTGAAGAGAAACGCTCCAGACCCCGCTTTTACCAGGGACCGGCTGTCCAGGACGAGGGTGCCGGCCACTGCTAGATCCAGAAGACTGATCGGGGTGGAAGGGGGCACAGACCAAACCCTAAGGGCACATGTGCACATAAGCAGTCAACGCAGCCGCGCTCTTCTTGAGCTGTGCTCCTTCTGCAGAGACAAAGCAAGGCTTTGTTGGGAAAGACGTGCATCCCGTTGCTGCATTTGTATGCAGGTCTCAGCTCCCAGAGGGAAGAACAAGGCATAAATCTAGTCAGGCTTGTGAAGGAGTTGCTGATGTCCAGGGGAAGACATGGCCTCGTACTCCCGTCTGAGAGAAGAAGCCCGGCCCAAAGTGAAGAAAACAGGCCCTAAAACCTTTGAAGGGCCACATCTCTACAGCCCCGCAGAGGGCAGAGGAACGGACAGCCCCGAGCTGCAGCAAAGCCAAATGCCCACGGCAGTGCTTCTCAACCAGGGTGCCTTGAAACCCTTTCAAGGGTGCCCCAGAGTTTAGCACTATGTTTGCAAGCAAGACTCACAAGATAAACCCAGAGCTGTCACAAAGGAATCCATAGCTGTGGTCTTTCTGACTTCTCTGCAACAGGAGAAACTGCTCGATTTCCCCCCAGAATTCAAAAAAAAAGTGAAAATGAATAGCTGGCATTTCCCAAAGGGTGCCTCAAGTTTCTCTAGAGGTGCCTCAAGTCTCAAAAAGGCTGAGAACCACAAATCTAACGACGTGCTGGTGATCAGCAGCTTGTGGAGTTTACGCCACTGGACCCCCGAGCGGCCGGGCCAGGCCGACGACCCCAAAGCACGGCCCCCCGACGGCAGAGCATGCGAGAGCGGGACTGTTTCCACAGTAGACGCGAGTAATGACGGCTCTCACGTCAAACCCCAAAATAATCCTTAAACGGCCTTGTGCAGGTCTTCTTTTTTTGTCCTTTATGCATGCTAACGTGATTCACACCACCCTCCAAGGTTTCTCTTGGTATTGGTGATAAAGCAGCATTTTTGTCTCGGGAAAGTAAGCAGAAGGATTAACTTGGAGAGATTTCGCTCTCGTTCATGAAAAAAATCAAGTAGAGGAGGATGTTTCAATGAAATCCACTCTAGGGTGGAAGGTGACTAATTTCCTTGTGCCTCGAGGTGGTCCCTTCCTTACCCCTTTAGGCGAGGGGTGAGAAACATTGGAAGAAGGGCAGGAGATGGCTACGCTCGTGCTGCCCAACCTGGATTATTTCCGGGACTAAAGAAGAATCTGAATCTTCCGCGCTCGCTGCCTGGTCTCGTTCCCGAGGTCCACAGGCAGCTTAGCGAGAGAGAAAGGAAAAGCTGACACCCACGCTTGGCTGGCTGGAAATTGGGGCATAATTCAGTGCAACCAACTTACTGGGGAATTAACATTTAATACGTGTGGCTGTCTGTGCCCATGGAGATCACAGAACTAGTGAATAGATAGGGGAAAAGCCTATCCTAAAGCCACTGAAAGGGGTGGCAACTCTCCAGTTGGTTTCAACAGAGCAGGATGGGAACCACCGGCTTTCAAATCCTATCAACATTAGTTGCATTAATCATCATTTACAGCCTCTTGCATTCTCAGCTGGATGCTGCCAATCCCATGGTATTTTAAGCTGACTCATTCTCTTAAATTCCTGCACCCCCCTTTCCTACTAAGCCTCATAAAATGGAAACGTAGAGATGACACTGGTACAAAAACTAGCCCGTCAGTGCAAAGTCGAGCTAGAGAACAGAGGGTGGCTTCTTTCATGAGCCACAATTCATAGCTGCAGGAGGGAAAGTTTCTGAGATTGAGCTATAAGTGATAAAGTGAAAAGGATAAAAAAGAAATAAATACAGGTATTGCTTTAATAAAACAATCTGAAAACTTTCCATTATGAACTGCTCACATCAAAGGTTTGTAACATGGCTGGAATAATAATGCGCCTCTTTGGGAATGAAGTGATTTTAGTCTGATGAGGAATGTAGATGTATATCACTGTTATTCCTATTAAAAACAAAACCTCAGGATACAAACATACCATTATTCTCGACATTGTCATCTGGTTTTAGTCACAGGATTCATTAAAGTGAAGAAGAACGAGCAGATGAAATCTCTATCAAATTTTTAGGAGTGTTTAAATGCATGTTTTAAAATGACTTAACCCTTCAGAGGTCTGAAAATGCAAATTCAGGGAACTTTTCCACTTTTTTATTACTTTTTTTTAACTGATCTGCCTCAGTTCACAGTAATTTGTGAACTACACCAGTCGCAAACTGGCCAGCAATTAAAAACCCGACATCATAACAGGTCCCTGGCATTGTTCCACCATGCAGGGACTCCGTAATCTTGCATGCCAAGGCTTGCTGTTATACATGGTGATTGCCGATGGTCTACGTACACAAACAGGGGCTATAATAAAAGAGCTGACAAAGAAGAAAATAATGCAAGTGACTCATATAGGGTCCAGCAAGCCCCCAGCACGAATCTTATCTAACTCTAAGTTATAAATATAACAGTTCACAAAAT